ACCGATATTTATGAGCCCGTATATAAATAGAGTATTTAAATAAATGTATATGGCAATATGCATGTATGTGAGTAGGAGTTAAATGTGATGATTATATTTTGATGATTATGTGCAGTGGACCGTACTATGGATACGACAAATATTTATGACGTTCACCGAGGTTGAGGGATGAGGACATCCGATATTTATAGCACCCATATAGGTTGAGGTATGGGGATAACCAATATTTATGGCATTCACTTAGATTGAGGGGTAAGGACAACTGATGTTTATGGCACCCATATCGGTTGAGGTTTTAGGATGGCCAATATTTATGGTGCATTTAGGTTGAGGGGTGAGGACGTGTGACATCTCAAATGCTAATTAAGGCATGTGGGTGTTAGATACAGAAATAGAATAACGAGTGCATGATAAAAATTATATGCAGCAGAGAAAATTAATACAAATCCCTTACAAATATATGAGTTCCACTTACATATATATAACTAAGGGCAAAAGTGGCGGCAGAATACAAAATCAAAATACAAAAGAGGGTCACTTCTTTCACTAAGCTATTAGACCTATCAGAGTGCAGGAACGATCATGCAATCAAGTTTTGTGGATCCACGGGATTCTCATATACTTTAATGGATGGTTAGCTGGCGGTTCCTCACTTTCTTCCTCATCTTGGGGAGAGGGGCATAGAAAGAGTGAGTTCTATATATTTAATAAGAAAAATAATATTTAAATAACATCATACAGTTTTAAAGGTGAATTATTCTAACATACATACTTACCATTTTAATGCTTTGTAGACCTATTTTATCTTTTGAAAATAATTTATTTATTGGAAAAAATATCACGTTAGTATAATCAAAACAAACACACATCATACCAAAAATAGAAAAATCAAATAAATCATGAAATACTCATATTTTCGTATCATGCTTCACGAAGTCATTACGACTTCCATCTCTGAAGCCAGATACAGATTTTCGACTGCTCATGTGGAATGATCATATCAGATTCAAATACGGCAATTTGTTCAGGCACATTTTTGGCTTGCTAAACCATGGTATGATCTATGATCACGGCTGTACCAACCATAGTGGTCCTATAAGATATTCTATGGTTATGACAGTACTTAGCCAAAGAAGACTGCTAATAGATATCCGCATCACTACTCTCGTTAGAAGGCATATCGTCATCCACAAGGAGCGGTCCTCTTACGTCTTTCCAGACAAGATGGGGGAGGGAGAAACAAATACCCCGGATGGGGTTAAGAGAACAGATACTCCTCAGAGATAAAAAGTCTAAAGAGACACTTGATACATTAAGCATATCGATACAGATACATACTTGAACCATTCATGCTTCAATCCAAATTTCTCTTTTTCTTCTTTTTTTTGGTTTCTTTTATTTTTCAGGTAACTTTACTAGTTTCATACTATTTTAATTACATGCAAATCATCAAGTGTTTATAAATCACATAGCATACTTGAAATCAATAACAATTCAACTTATTAAACCTACAAACACAAAAGCATGCAAAACATCCAAAATCACAAATTATCAATTCAATTTCTTTTTTTTTTGTCTAAAATACTTCTTAAGACATTGAAAGAAATACTAAATTTTTTACTAAAATTTTGATAATTTCTTCTACACTGTTCTTCTTTTCTTCCTCTCATTCTCTCTCTAGATCAC